ATGATTCCACCTTTCCAACCTGTGTTTGTGTTGGTGCCATCAGCACCGACCACTTCTAGATGTTCCACACCAACTAAATTATCTTGTAGATGTTGCCATATAGCTTGCGTCTCTTCCTCAGCTGAAACGGAAAGAGAGGTAACGTGGCCAAAGTAATGAAAACCAGGTTTCGCTATAAGAGAAATAAGTTAATCTTTGGCAGTGTCGCGGTAGTACTTTTCACCTTCGCTGACTTGTGTAAGTGTATTGTCTTTGCGCCGTCAAAAAACAGCCCATATACAGAGTCCATAATTTCGGTGTTTTGGAGCTTAGCTCCAACACTTTTTTTTGAGCGACTAATCTTTCATTTGTCAGTGACARAGCTAGACTGATCCTCCGTTATTAAACCTGCTTTTTTGGCATCCAGAAAAGCAGATGAAACAATCAAGGCCGCTGCTCTATCCCTTACTTCAAATCTTTGGGCATCTAAAGCAGTGTGTTCTAATACTAGTGTGTTTTGTTTGGTTTTAGAGGATGAAAGAGAAAATTCATCATCAGCATCGTTTTTGGAAGAATCCACGTGCGACGCACCTACATTGTTGTCGTCTGTATGAGACGCTGATCTCAGTGGTCACGGGTTCTAGCTGATACTTTTCTTGTAAGTGTTGATGTTGAATGACGTTTCGAACGCTTTTCTATACATTTTTCTTCGTAATCTTTTTTGTTTCAGGTAGGTCAACACTTCCAAAGCGACCAATTCTTCTGGTTCTCTGGTCCAAGGGAAATGGTTGTTCATTAATAGGAACTCTCCTTTCCTTTGGACAAGTGCAAGAAGAAAATAAATGCATTTATAAGCACCGATGTCAAATAATTTTCCGGCAGAAGAGACAAAGTCGTCTCTTTTAGAGCTCAACCCTATTGGGTTATTTAAAAACATTTGTTTAAGAGTCAGAAATTTKTTATGGTATGTGGTGAGCATTTGTACAACTCTGGTGTGTTAAAACTAACAGAATAGATGACTTTTTGAAAGTATTTTTAACCTTTTCCGCAACTATTTCTGTAACCTTTTTACTCCTAGGTTCGTAGTTGTCGCCTCGGAGTCGCCCTATACGAAATCTTTCAAACTGGTAACACAAAAGAACATCCTGGTAAATAGGAACCTSGGACTCAGAGAGATTGTACGGATATATGCCAAACACAAGACATTTCCGTCTAAATTTAAATTTGGCGTAGGTGAATGAATGTGAGTGATAGCACTCGCCGAAATCAACATCAAGAAGTGTGGCCGCAAGACAATTTTCACCTTGCGCTGTGGCGCGCTGCATTTTCGCTCGTATCTCGGGAACGGTTCGTCCTACGGCCATGATAACATACCATTTCGGTAGCAAATGACGTGACAAATAACTTTTGTTTTATACATTTTGCCATGCGATGCGTATTTCAGGCGSTAGGTAGACAATTTCACGATTTTAGGTGAATTCACAATCGCACATTCCATGCATATTCAAGTACATTTTTTTACAGAGATCAAGATGGACGTGGACAMCAACCCCAAATGTTCGGTCAGCAATAAACGTGGCACGTACTGGGCCTATCCCAATGCCCCGCCCAACCAATGCTACTGCATCAACTTCCGCTTTTGGTAGTGGCTCACGAGCAGCCCCATCAACGCTATCCGCAAAAGCGTCGTATACGATGCCCGCTATGTCACCGGAAACACCGACTACATCACTGTGGGCTCTTGACGCAGGAGTACGCTTCCGACGATTTATGTCACAGGTGCGGCAGACCACATCAGACGCTGCTGCACAGGACCCCACGACGAGATGTACGTCGGCCAGCTGCCTCAAGCACAGGTAGATTAAGGCAATCAACCCGGATGGTACGACGCCAGACCAATGCAGCCCGGCCTGAGCCTCATCAATGGCGTCCGCACCACGTTGCACCAAMCAGCCGTCGTCCAAAAGCGCCACAGCATCGCCTCGCCACGGGAGTCAGCAACGTAGTTGCAACTCTCCAGCAACTACAGAGATTGCTAGGCTGAATATTCGCCTAGGGGGGCCGGGATGGCTAAATGAGATAACGCCACTACACTAATAMACCACCCACGTAGAATCCACATTCCACAGGACCCACACATCAACACCACCCACACGCGAGAGCACATCCACACACGCCATCGTCAAATAGCATTCCGCAATATTGTTTAATTGAAATTAAAAATAACGYGAACCTCATTTTCCACAATTGTAAATAATTTAAACTATCCAATTAAATTAAACTTAAATTATCTTTACAAACAAACCGGGTGTTTTAGTTAAAGAAGTGGAAGTGGTAAGTGGGAAAAGACAAAAGGTGAAAGTGGGCATCTACTTAAACATTGCTGCCTTTTAACAAAACTATTAAAAAGATTTTATATATTTATAAATAATAGCATTCGGCTCTGATTTTGAGTTATTTTAAGAAAATTTCAAACATATTGAAACATATTGAACAGATTGAATTATAAAAGTTGATAATTACAACAGTATTTAGTTATTGGCAACCCTGGGTTGTGAGAGAGCAATCAGCTGACAGGTTTCTACGGCAAGAATGAAAATGCCGTGAATTCTCACGTCATCCTACGTCAAAGAGAGAAGGGAGTAGCGTTTGTCACTGTTCACTTACATTGTGCGACCATAAGATGGGTCGTACGTGTTTCTGCTATTACAATTTACGTATAAAACGTGATGCTTTCTCTTCATGCATTTTCCTTTTATTCTATTTTTTCGAATTAATGCCGTTGTGCCCAAAAACTTGATTGTTTATTTTGACGATGCTGGCTCTATGGCATGAGCGGTGGTCGTAAACTTGCGTTGTATAAATGTTGCGTACATCTGKTCTAAAATTCAATTCACTTCTTCTTAATAGAGCTGCAGAACAATTGAGGGAACTATCGTTAATATCGATAGTTTTATTTTTTATTTTGACTATCAATAGTATACATATGTCGATACTATACTCAGCAACAATTTTCATAAAACTGCAAAATTTATCGTAATGAGTCAAGTCACCTAGTCTGGTAATCACTCTGGATAACACTCCAGGAAGTTACGGCAGCTGAAATTGCAGAGCACTGAAGAAATTAGCGCGGAAACTAACGCCCACACGCGCCCTTCAACTCATAAGCTCAATGCGTACGAAAGGGATGAAGATGCACACGGGCATATTAGTTATAATTAGAATTGCCTACTGTACCTTAAAAAACATATATAAACCTTAACGGGAATATCTGATAGCGCTTTTGGGTACTAATCGATATTTTAACTATAGGTGGCTTACACGGATGGTAGCATCAAAACCATCTTTTCAGTATTGGCTTGGCTTCTAATTCGTAAGTATAGAAATTTTTTAAAATAGTAAACAAATTATTAAATTTTGCTATTTTTACCCTTTAATTATGTGTTGGATGCTTTGGAAGAGAAAATTTCTAATTTTCTGAAATGACGGCGAATCAAACAAACTACACCAGATTCTCTAACTGGTATCACTCAAACGGATAGCGCTCATGCTGAAATATGTGCATATTTTCTTCGCATTAAAAAAAACGTTCCAATAACCCTTTAATTTTGTTTTCCATAAAATGATTTTACGTCTTAAGTTTTAAAATACCAAAAAAAAAAAAATGAAAAATGTATCTTCATTCAATTATTCACAATAGTAACACTGATCTAAAATATGCAAAATATAGCTTGGTAGCATTCAAAGCAAAAATTAATCCACTATAATTAAGTAACCACATACTCTCTTGTTTCTATTGAATTCGATACCTTTTACATGTATTTTTATTACAAGAGTGCAGAAACGAGTAGAGAAATCGAAGACAGGAAATATCAGATAGGAGAACAGAACAAAAGTTATAAACGTTAACAAACTACTATTTTTAAACAAAAACAGGAAAAAGCGGAAACTTAAGTTGCTCGTTTACTCCTCAACTCTGATTTATAAAGAAAAACGAAAAATTTCGTATGTAACTATGTTAATTTTTTTAGTCTTTTTCAGGGTGGACTATTGACTAATGATAGTTTTGCAACTCTAGTTCTTACGTAAATTTTTTCACACATTTTGTTGGTAAATATGGAACACACTCAATGAGTTATTACTCAAGCTGATCCCCAACACTACATTAACATAGCCGGCAATATGTTTATTATTTTACTTCACTACTTCTCTTCTCAATTTATACATCATCAGGTAAATCTTCGCGTTATCCCCAATGTTTAGGGAGTTGTTACTTTTAAATATTCGAACATCATTTTCATATTTGGTTCTAATTACTGTGGCATTTCATTACATATAAATGTACTTACCACATTCGCAAGTCTTTATATTGATATCTTCATTGTAATCAGAGTATTCTTCTCCTTCATATCCGAAAGCATTGGTAATGCTTGAGCTGATTCGAAATATTGCATCGAAAAGAAATTTTCCACTTCTATCTGCAGTTAAGGCATTTGTTGTGTTTTTCAATCTTTCTTTAGAATAAGAAATCTCACTGTTTGTTAATTCATTATTTGCAAAAATAAATTCCCCAAAAAATAGTATTAATACTGCTAGTCGACTACGCATTTTCATCTTACGTGCATTTTGCCCTAATTTGTTTTACAAACAAAAATTATAAAGAATATAAAAACGCACTCAGGGCGRCATAAATCTAAAATAGAATGCCAGTTAAAATATACATATAATATAAAATTTATTTTTAAATAACTTAAACAAAAAATTTAATACATATTAAAAAAAAAATAGTTATAGTAATAATTAGATTGGAGAAGAACATTTAATAATAATACAGCGAGAAAAAGTAATATTATACTTATATGAGAGTTTGGTAAAATGCAATGTCAGACCTACTAAGAAATACTTATCTTGTAAAGAGTTTAGAATACCGTTAATGGCAATAGATTTGACGGTTAGTATGCTATAAAATTTGCCTGTCAAGATGGAGCGTAAGCAATGGCTACAAAACATGCTCTACCAGGACCCAATTTAATTTTCGTATTCTTGCGCTTTACCAAAAGAACCCTGTAACTGCTGTTATATTGCGTATACACAAATACATTTCGCCGTTATTTCTGTTCTTGTATTGTATATAATATATTGGTAAATGAGTTTTGAATTTCGTCTAATCTTTCAAGAACACGAGTGTTCCCAAATATTAATTTGTAATATACACATTGTGCAATTGATTCTTTATACCCTGAACAGGTTGTCACGAAGTTTGTAACATCCAGAAGGAAGCGTCGGAGATCCTATAAAGTATATATAAAATGATCACTATGTTGAGCTGAGTCGATTTAGATATGTCCGTACGTCTGTCTGTATATATACGAACTAGTCCCTCAGTTTTTAAGATATCGTTTCGAAATTTTTCAAACGTCATTTTCTCTGCCAGAAGCTGCTCATTTGTTGGAACTGCCGATATCGGACCACTATAATATATAGCTGCCATACAAACTGACCGATCGGAAACAAGTTCTTATATGGAAAACTTTCACATTCAACAATGTATATTCACAAAAGTTGGCACACGTTATTTTATAAGATAGTAATGTAATATACGAAAAAGTTGTTCAGAACGGCTTCTATAGCATATAGCTGCTATACGAACTGAACGATCGGAATCTAGTGCTGGTATGGAAAATTTTTGCATTTGATAAGATATATTCACGAAATTTGGTACAGATTATTTTCTAACAACAATGTACTCGCCAAAAAAATTGTTCAGATCGGTTAACTGTAACATATAGTTGCCACAGGAGGATGGAGTCATGTGTAGAAGTTCACGCATCGCCACGTGATCGCCATTCACTTGGGAGTGGCCAGAAACGATTCTTTTACATATGACTCAAGCAGCTCACGACTTCCGGTCCTTGACCAAGTATCCTCTGGGTAGCCTAAGAACATCCGTTTGAAGGCGAGCTAAAGTGAGAAGGCGAAACATTCCCTGTATAGGGTTGTGCGCTGGGTTTGGGACCCGCCACATGAAAAAACCACCCCAATGAAAACGCAACAAACTTGGATGAGAGACCCCCTTTTGATGRGGACCATGGCAAATGAATTAAGGACTATGATTTGAGGGCATACACCTAAAATGTCCGGTCCCTTAATTGGGAAGSTGCCGCTGCCCAGCTGGTTGATGTCCTCGTAAAAATAAAGGCTGATATCACCGATGTCCAAGAAATGCGATGGACGGGACATGAACAGAGACGAGTAGGTCCTTGTGGCATTTACTACAGTGGCCATATAAAGGAGCGCAAGTTTGGTTTGGGATTCGTGGTGGGAGAGAGACTCCGTCGTCGAGTACTATCATACACTCTGGTGAATGAACGTGTAGCCACAATCCGCATCAAAGCGAGGTTCTTCAAAATATCGCTGATTTGCGCCCACCCCCCGACGGAAGAGAAGGACGATGTGACCAAAGATGAATTTTATGAATGCTTGGAAAGCATTTATGGGAGCTGCCCCCGCCACGATATCAAAGTCACTACGGTCGGTAAATTCAGCCACCACATCCCCAAATGGGTTGAGGCTGATAGTCACCGAYGCCTAGAGCATACTTAAATTATGGAGGGAACACTTCTACAGCCTTCTGCATGGCAGTGAACGCACAACGCCAGGAGAAGGCGAACCCGATTCCCCAATTGATGACGATGGAGCAGACGTTCCAATGCCCGACCAGGAAGAAGCTCGAATAGCAATTACCCGCCTGAAGAACAACAAAGCGGCGTGGGCCGATGGATTGCCCGCCGAGCTATTCAAACACGGCGAAGAACTGATAAGGAGCATGCATCAGCTTCTTTGTAAAATACGGTCGGACGAAAGCAAGCCCAATGATTGGAATTTAAGTGTGCCATACCCAATCCTCAAAAAAGGAGACCCCACAATCTGCGGAAACTACCGCGGGATAAGTCTCCTCAACATTTCATATAAGGTTCGATGGAGCGTATTGTCTGAAAAATGAAAGCACAAACAACAAACTGATTGGACCTTATCAGTGTGGCTTCAGACCAGGAAAATCAACAAGAGACTCGTGAAARGAAAATCGACACTCACCACCTCTTCGTCGATTTTAAATCTGCTTTCGACAGCACAAGAAGGAGCTGCCTTTATGCTACGATGTCTGAATTTGGTATCCCTGAAAAACTTATACGGCTGAGTAAGCTGACGTTGAGGAGCCCCAAAAGCTCCGTCAGAATAGGGAAGGACCTCTCCAAGCCGTTCGATTCCAAACGAGGTTTCAGACAAAGCGATTCCTTATCGTGCGACTTTTTCAACCTGCTTCTGGAGAAAATAGTTCGAGCTGCAGAACTAAATAGAGAAGGTACCATCTTCGATATGAGTGTACAGCTGCTGGCGTATGCCGATGATATTGATATCATTGGCCTCAACACCCGCGCCGTTAGTTCTGCTTTCTCCAGACTGGACAAGGAAGCAACACAAATGGGTCTGGCAGTGAACGAGGGCAAGACGAAATATCTCCTGTCATCAAACCACGTCACTGTTGACAGTCATAGCTTTGAAGTTGTAGATAATTTCGTCTATCTTGGAACCAGCGTAAACACCACCAACAATGTCAGACTAAAAATCCAACGCAGGATAACTCTTGCCAACAGGTGCTACTTCGGACTGAGTAGGCAATTGAGAAGCAAAATCCGCTCTCGACAACAGCTGATGAGTCGACGTTGCGAGTTTTCGAGAGAAAAGTTCTGCGAAAGATTTATGGTCCTTTGCGCGTTGGTCACGGCGAACATCGCATTCGATGGAACAATGAGTTGTACGAGATATATGATGACATTGACATAGTTCAGCGAATTAAAAGTCTGCGGCTATCCTGGCTATGTCATGTTGTCCGAATGGACAAAAATACTCCATCTCTGAAAGTTTTCGACGCTGTACCTGCAGGGGGAACCAGAGGAAAGGGAAGACCTCCACTCCGTTGGAAGGACCAGGTGGAGAAGGACCTGGCTTCACTCGAAATATCTAATTGGCGTCACGTAGCGAAAAGAAGAAACGACTGGCGCGCGTTTGTTAACTCGTCTATAATCGCGTAAGCGGTGACTATGCCAATTAAGAAGGAGAAGATATATGTTGCTCTTATTTGGTTTCGTTAACACACAGGCAAATGTGCTACAGAAATAATATATGTACAACTTTGGACACATAAATGGCACATTTTTTATGTATTCTTTCTTGTGTTAGAGTATCATAATTATTTTTAATAAATAASAAGTGCTTGGGTTTTTTTTGAAAGATTCATTCTTTGTCTTCAATAACAGTACAAAAACTTTGGTGTAATGAGCTGGACACATAAATGGTACAACCGAAAAAATGGGCGACAATTTTGTTCATATTGCGTTTTTATAATTTTTTTATTGTTAATATTTTGTGCTGTAACCTTTATTTTCAATGACTGCTTTACATCTGCGACCCATAATTTCTGAGATATTTTGACAATTAGCTTGAGGTAAAGCGTAATCAGTTTTTTTAACGGCAGACTAGAGATCATCCATATTTTTATAACTAACCTTTGCAATTTCAGCATTGACTTCATTCCATAGGTTTTCAATTGGATTTAAGTCCGGGCTATGCGCTGGTCAATCCAAAATGTGATCCTCTCTGCAGAAAAATAATTTTTAATTAGCTTCGAGGCGTGTTTGGGATTGTTGTCTTGCATAATGTTTCATTTAATTGGGATATACTCAAAAGCATATAGTTCCATATGGTTTTTTAAAATGTGCCAGTACTGAAACTTGTCCATTTTTCCATTGATTCTTACGAGCGGATCTACAAAATACCAAGAAAATGCTCCCCAAACCATAATATTTTCATGCCATGCTTTACCGTCTTCTGAGTGTACTGTTATATATATATAGTACTATATCATATATTTATATTATATTCTTGGGAATTAGGATGATGTACAAATATTTTGTCATCTGGTCCTATCCCTGTCTCTTATACACATCTAGATGTGTATAAGAGACAGGTTATATATATATAGTACTATATCATATATTTATATTATATTCTTGGGAATTAGGATGATGTACAAATATTTTGTCATCTGGTCCTATCCTGGTCATTAACCTCTGTTTCCTCACTGCACAATACATTTTTCTAAAAATTAAAGTTTTGAAATATTTCTGTTTGAAAGGAGTGGTTTCTTCCTCGATAGCAATCAACAATTTTGGCTAATTCAGAGGTCTTATGGCAAGTCTAGAGGATATTTCTAATACTAATGACTGGTTGATATCAGCTGCTACCTGCCGTGATAATTTAAATGGATCATCTTTGGCGATTCTTACTATACCAGCTTCCGAACGCGCATTCATTCTACACGGTCTTGGCTTCCGAATTCCAACTTTGACCAATACTTGCATACATGATTTGATTGCGTTGTATACTTTTTTACGATAAATTGTCATAGTTTAGCAATTTCGGCCACTTTGTATACATACATGTTCCMAATATTTTTTCTTCTATTGTAGTATGCGTTCCGGATCCCATTTTATTTGATTTCTTTCACTGAAAAACTTTTAATTATTTATTTTTCAACAATACAAAAAATGATGTTCTTAAATTAATCCTGCTAAGTAACATGTGTCATTTATGTGTTCACTCAAAATCAGGATTGACTACGCATAATTGATAATGTTAAACAAAAACCAAAATA